ACGTGGCCTAATATTTTCAGTTAAACCATCACATTAAACAGATCTCCATGTTTAGGTGCAATGTAAAGTCATAAATAAAAGGCCAAACCCTAAACAATGCCTATGAACCAATGCCGATGCAATACCCACTGCTGCAGATCAATACACATCCTTATCTGTCAACGAGGAATGTGTTAGCAAAGCTGCTAGCTATGCTAACGACAGGTTAGCAACATTAGCAGGCTGGACCGTTATCTTACCTTTCCTTTTAAATCCAAGACATACACCGCACTCGCAGACATCTTGAACTAATCTATGCGAGCTTAGTTCAGCTCTTTATTACCGGCTTAATGACAATGTTTGATAATAACTATTTAAGGGCTAAAATCAAAGGACAAGCTTTCATTCATAATACTGAAAAAGGGAAAAGCCACCCTTCCCCGTTTGTCACACCATCAATGGATCTAACGAGCGCCCCCTGTGGAGCGGGAGGAAGCACTGAAACTGCAATGTATTTATTACATAGACATCTGAATGTATGAATGTATCGGTTGAATGGCAAATATGTTGACAATAAGGCATAGAATAAGACATATAAGTAGTACAATTAGTCCGACTGTCAGTCAGTCACTCAGTCAGTACAATAACAACAGGCTGCATAACATTTACATTTATTTAGTTGTTCTTTTGCTACCATGGCCAACATTAAATTACAGTGACTCAAAGAGGAAAGAGAGCGGGACTGTTTTTATTTAATGCTACCAGACATGTTGACCAAGGAGGCACAGGTATGTAGCTACTATGTCTTGTCAATGGCTACATCCTTGTTCTCTGTAAATTACCAATCAGTGAAGCATAAAACTTCACATTGTAGCTTACCATTGTTCTCAGTATTTGTTTTAGTTTTAGTTTGCACTGTTATACAATTTGCCACAGTCCCTTTATACGGTATTTGATATAACTTAATTTAGGAGTTTCAGTGAATTAGTTCATTATGTTCCATCAAATTGATATGTGAAATAGTAAGTTTACAAGTCTGTGGATAATAAATGTACTTGCCAATATGAATCCCACATTTTGATATCATTATGAACTCTTCAACTTATTTTCTTGGGAGTTATTTCCTGTCGAGAGTGAAGGCTGGGGTTTTGGGACTGGCACCAAGTACTGTATAAGGACTTCTGCTTTTAATGTTTGTGGTGAAACAGTAAATAACAACACTTATTCATAATAGACTCTAGAATCTAGACCAGGGGTGTCAAACTCAAATACACAGTGGGCCAAAATAAAAAAATGGGTACTAGTCGAGGGCCGGACTGGTTCAATGTTTATTGCAGAACTTACTGAAATGAACTTATTGCACATATTAAACCTGGAACTAACAAAGCTTCAATTATTGCCTATATAAAAACAACATGAAACCTTAAATAATGAGTTGCATTCATTTCTTATGGCTCTATCTGCAGAGTCATTTCTCATGATTACATTTTTCCACAGGCCAACAACAGCTTCAAAAAAACAATTTCCCTCAAAGAAAAAAACAAACATGCCCTGTTGTCGCAAGAAAAAAAGTGCAGAAGGAAACATCCATTGAAACTCAGTGTGCTGCTCTGTGATGCTAGTTCAAGCCAGATACTTGGCATCTCATCTTGGGTGCAAGTTCATCAATGTTTGGGCTCAGGCTCTGAGCTGAGGAAATCCTCAGGATGGAGTGAAGGTGTGCGTGCAATATACCGGCGGGCCAGATCTAATAGTAATTAAAAATTATCCTGCGGGCCGAAATTAAATCCACCAAGGGCCTGATTTGGCCCCCGGGCCTTGAGTTTAACACATGTGATCTAGACTAACAGTTCATCACAAGCATTTGTATAGTGACTTGAGGTCCTGGGTGATGATGGTGCCCAGGAAGCGGAAAGACTCCACAGCAGTGACTGGGAAGCAGAGGTGGGAAGTAGTGGGGTACAAATACTTTGTTACTGTACTTAAGTACATTTTTCTGGTATCAGTATTTTACTCCGCTACTTATTTTTCTGACGACTTTTTACTTTTACTTCTTACATTTTTAACACAAATACCTGTGAACAGGTATACAGGTGTACAGGTGAACAGCAAACACCAGTGTGATTTTGGTGGGAGTACGACCACCCTGGACAAAGCTATATTGGGGGTGCCAAATCCGGCAGTACATTCGCCTGGTCTGCCACATGTGGAAGCCCCTCTTTAGTTTCTCACCTGTCAATGTCACAGACTGCCTGCATTAACCACTGAGCTATAGGCCTACAGCAGCACGATTGATTTGAAATGATTGGATTATAGAGAACAGAGATGCTGTGGGTCATTGTGCAATCATTACCTGGGAGGAGTCAAGGAAAATGATACTGAATTCATGCTAAAACAATCACCAAAGCCAAATGAGTCCACGCATCATGTGTGTTTATGGATGTGAGTGTTTTTATCAGTGCTGTGGAAGTCACACACCCTGACAGGTGACAGTTTCATTGGAAGAACATTGAGAAAGAATTGTGGTGCAAGAAGTAAAAAAAAGCAGGAATGTACAACACTCACACACACACACACACACACACACACACACACACACACACACACACACACACACACACACACACACACACTGCCCCCCCATGACAGTTGCTGCAGCATTTGAAAACCTTTGATCACATACAGTACCAGTCAAAAGTTTGGACACACCTTCTCATTCGAAGGTTTTGATTTATTTAGATTATTTTTTACATTGTAGATTAATACCGAAGACATCAAAACTATGAAAAAACATAATATGGAATGATGTGGTAAACATAAAGGTGTTAAACAAACCAGTATATGATTTATATTTTATATTTTTCAGAGTAGCCTGCAACCTTGGGCTGCTGTGCTCTCAGTGTTTTGTCTCCCTGCTCCTGCCTGTTGGCGTCAGCTGATAGAGGTGTTATAGTGCTTTATCTTGTTATGCACAATGTTGATTATTCTTTCAGAACTAGCTAAATACATGGGTAAAGGTTCTACTTGAGCCCAATTTGAATACCATAAAGAAAGTATTAAAGCCAGCTCAAGCTAAATGTCAAATGTATTTAATTAATGTACAGTTGTTTTGATTTATTTTATTTTATTTGAGTTGTACATGTTTCAAAACGCGAAGTGTAATAACTGCAGTTGCCTCCCTGTCACAGAGAATGACAAAGATCCTCAGTGAAGCACAAGCCCATGTTTCTCACTAAATTGTAAGTACAACTTATTAAAAATATCAGTTCAATGCAACTAATGTCATCTTAGTGTTATTGCATGATGTTAAAATTGGTTTTCCATGAATTTAGTGATGGATTGTAAACATTTGAAATAAGTATAAGAAATGAAGTGTTTCTCAGTTACAAGGTTGTTGTTTTAATAAATCAGACACTCATGGTGCAGCGTTGTACTGTACCTCTTTATATAGGCATTTTGTCCCTAACAAATAGTTTTTGCGCTGATCAGGGGGTACTTGGCTGACATTTCTTTTCAAAGGGGGTACATTATTGAAAAAAGTTTGAGAACCACTGGATTAGATGACTTTTTTTGTCCCTCGGAGGCAGGGTCTGTCCCCTTTAGGCTGGCGAAGACACAACATCTCTCAAAACATGAAAACTCACAAAGATTATAAAGGTAATGAAAACATTTGTTGTAAAACATTTTTTTATTAGATATTTTTTCAAGTTGTATAAAGAAATGTTTTAACAAAGTAATTTATTTAATTCTTATTTTTATCACGTAATTACTTAGTTACTTTACACCACTGCCCATGAAAAACAAATAAGACAATAATGAATAAACAAAAATGCACTTAGTAAAAAACAAAAATGTGCTTTATTGTGGTCTGAATGACTTCAGTCCCACTTGAGTCTCTGCTGCTGCATGCTGAAACTTGTTATTCATTGACGTACTGCAGCTTGATTCACTCAGCATGAGGTCATCCATATGGCCCCCTGTCTGCCGTGGATTTGGATTTACCTGCATCAAGTAAAACATCAACACCGGAACTGGAGCGATTTCTGCCTTCAGAACAAGAGCGGACCTTTTCAAGATTCAAGGCTTTTATTGTCATTCGTAGCCTACATAGCCACAGTGTAGTTATGTCGATGGAAATCTTAGGTCCCAGGCTCTTCCAACAGTGCAACACAATAAAACAGATAAAATAGTGCAAGTAAATACAATAAAATAGAAAAGAAGTAGTGCCATAAGAGTCTATATACAAGTGATATGATACATCATTTGTAAGTTGCAAACAGATGAATGTTATGGATGTTCTTAGTTCAGGTGTTTAACAGTCTTATGGCCTGTGGAATAAAACTGTCCCTGAGTCTGGTGTATAATATGCAGTTCTGCTCTCATTCTAAAACCCAGTGGACATCTGTTTTGCTTTTGTTTTTTAGCAAGAAGACAGTATACCCTCAAGGCTATCAGAGTGATATGCCTATTAAAATAACATTAAGAATACTGCTTGGTTGAAGCTCTAGCTGTGTTGGATATACAAAATAATCATAATCAGAAACAGGTTTATTACCAGGTAGGTTTACACGTAGGCCTACGAGGAATTTGACTTGGTGTTGTGGTGCATACATAAAAGTAAAACAAGAATTAAAAACACAGGTAGAGAACTTGAAAAATATTTAAAATAATAAAAAATATAGTAAAATATAACAGTATTGTTCCAATCTAATTTTATGTTTTACAGTTGACTTAGCAAATACAGTTATTTGGTACACACATTTATAAGAACAACAATACAAAACAAAGATGGCGTACTTTTTAGGGCTATTTTGATTACTCTAATGATTACATTAATTTAATTATAAAATCATTGAATCGTCACGATATAAAATAAAATGTCTTCTTACATTAAGGTTGAACAATTTATGTATTGCTGGTGCACAAATAAGTCAATACTAGCAAGTTTATTTTTTTGCTGCAGTGCTAGCAAATACTTTTATACGACTTCCATTTGGAAGAGAAACCGGAAGTGGGATGTGCCGGTGGCTCGAGCTCTCGAGCTTCATGCGGTTGAGTCTGGGAATTCATACACAACTACTTTGAAGAGGAATGCAGCACTCGTAGCCAACCATACTGTAAGTATACTTTAAAAGCCATTACTTCATGTGTTATTCAGTTCAATATTCACATTGTTGTCAGTGTTATTTATTGTAGGTTTTCCTAAAGATTGTGACAAACAGCAAAAGCCGGTTTTATTCAGTATCTAAATAACCAGCTAAGCTAACGTTAGCTCTCTTCCGTCGCCGGGATTCACTTCAATTCTTCTTTTAAACGGGTTTGTATTCCTTAAGTTAATATGTTTAGTCTGTCGGCATTAGTTTTATGTTGTGTTGTTACCTAGAAGCTTGACATTTGTTGTTGTTTTGACCACTGAAAAAATGTCTCTGCTTGTAACGGAGGTTAAACTGTCATAAATCTATCATTGTGAACTATTACCAGAATTGTATTTCACTGCCTATTTCATATACTAGAAAAAAGTTTAATTAATAAAAAACAAACAACGCCAGACGCTTTACATTGTGTCTGAATAGCAGTAATTGAGTCAGATGGCCCAGGAGGAGGTGATGTAGTAGGACTGGTATGCAGAGGTCTGACATCAGCCAAAAACTCTCTGAAAACTGGAGCTGAGTTTCCTCGGGCCAAATAAGGAGGAAAAGAGCTCAGATACTTTATCATGTAGGTGGAACATATTAATGTGGCCTTTTATGATCTGATAAATACTCGTATCACAGTTTAGATCTACTAACACAGCGTTGTTTTGGTCGCTGTCACTGTCAATCATAAACTATCAATTACATGTTTAATTAATTGTGCTTTATTGGCATGTAACAGGGACAACATTGCCAAAGAAAGCATCAAATAATTTAGAGATTAAATATAAAAAGATAAAGGTACATTTATCTTGCCCTTGCTTTTTTTTAAAGACTATTCTTTCTATACAATGCATATTACTAAATAGTGAAACATGACCGTTGTAGTTTCACAAAGTTCATGGTGTTTTAAATGGCTTGTTTTGTTTGTCCAAAACTCAAACATATGGTTTATATCTCCATTTTCTTCTGCAGTGAATCTTAAGGAATCATCATTCCAGTCAGCACATAATGGCTGGCTTCAGACAAGAGGATGTGGAGGTGTTTTATGAGATGGAAGAGGAACTGGGCAGGTAATGTTTATTTTTTCTTCTCCTACTAAATGTTTTGTGACACCAATGTATATGAAAACATGTTGTCAGTGTGACGACTGTAGTCAAGAAACTATATACACTTGACTCTAACATCTATTTAAAACTGCCAGTCAAGCAAAAGGGACATACATGATGCTTTAGGATATTTTTTATGCCACATTTAAAGGACATCATGTATTTATGAAGTTTCTTGTGAATCCAAATGCTGCCCTGCTTTCATCGAAACACTGTGTACTAAGCAAAATATCTGATAGCTGCAACAGTTCCCTTTTTTATAAAGATATGTTGTATTACCAGTGCTTATAGTTTGTAATATATAAATAAATAAATAAAATACATCTCACACAGTTGCTTGAGTTGTGTTTGAGATGCATTTTGATGCCAGATATGAGCTGCAAACGACCAAAAGCATTAGATTTTATGAAGGCAAACATATGCTAGTGTTAGCAACATTTAATAACCTTTTTACAATGTGCTTCTATAGTTTGTGACTGAGTCATCATATCTTTATAGTTTACATTTTCTACCCAAGCTACTTTTTGCTGCAGTAATGCAGCAAAGCTATTGTGTAAGTAAGTAAGTGTGTGTGTGGGTGCACGCATTGAATTCTCTGCCCAGTCATGCTTTATGGAATTCTTTTTTCCCACCTGCACATTAGTGAGTTCTTGTCAGTAATTTAATTCAGAAATTCTATTAAACAAAACTGTATTAAATACATTTGTATATTGATTATGGTAAATAACTCAACTTTAAAGTTTATCCACATAATGCTTACAATTCCAACATTCATTTTTATTCAATATTAAATCATTACTTAGTCTAGTGTTTCCAAACCTAGGGGTCAGGATTTCCAAATTGGCCCACATGATAAATCTCATAGGTCACAAGATCCCTGCAAACATTTCCTCTTTACTAAGACAATTATTCCACAAACTAATGTCCTTGGCATTTTCTAAAACAAATGGAATCCGTTTTCCAGTACAGTAAAAACAATACATTTTAAAACCCCTCTCTTTAAAATGATCCGAAGAAGAAATGTCTTTGTGGTTGACCTAGAACCCTACATTGACGTCATAGTCTCTGCTCAAGGAACATAAGTAGAAGTTTCTTCATTTAAAGTGCGGACAAACCAAATTGTTATTATTTCCCAAAGTTATGTGTTGATATATTGCCTGTACTCTGACCAGCAGCAAATCATTTAAGCCAGAAGAAACCCAAAGTGGCAAGGAAGGTCTGCGTTATCTTTGTTTTTAACGCTTGTTTCCTCTCCTCCCTGCAGTGGACAGTTTGCCATCGTTCGTAAGTGTAAGGAGAAGACCACGAGTATTGAATATGCAGCCAAATTCATCAAGAAACGGCGTCTGTCCTCCAGCCGGCGGGGGGTGAGCCGCGAGGAGATTGAGCGCGAAGTCAACATCTTGCGAGAAATCCAACACAGCAACATCATCACCCTGCACGACATCTTTGAAAACAAGACGGACGTGATCCTGATCCTGGAGCTGGTGTCCGGAGGAGAGCTGTTCGACTTCCTGGCTGAGAAGGAGTCTCTGACGGAGGAGGAGGCCACTCAGTTCCTCAAGCAGATCCTGGACGGGGTTGAGTACCTTCACTCCAAACGCATCGCTCACTTCGACCTCAAGGTCAGTCTTCTGTGTGGCTAGGGAGGTGTTAGTGAGACTCTGGTCCAGCAGGCGTAGTTTACATGTTAGTGAGGATTCCTGTTGAGGTGTAAGAAGATGTTTATGCTGTACTGGAAATCTCCCTGTGAGTCCTTGCTGCATGGTGATACTAATAATATAAAGAGGTTTTAGGTTTTTACATTAGCCTATTAAGCTCATGAAACGTATCTGTTTATCGAAATGACATATTTAGACGACGTTTTGTTTCATGGAAAGAATAATCGATTTGTCTGAAAATGTCTTTGACACTACATCTTTGCCTGATCATTATGTACTTATTTATGAATATGAAAACACTATAGTTGACCAAGATTTTGCCTCGTACACCCTGTCAAAGATAAATGGATGGAAAGCGTACGGCTTCAATATAACCTATTGGGTTTCTAGATAACATTTTCAAACCCGTGTTCTGGAGAAGTTTTCTTTGAAAGTATAGCATACTACTATAGCACATTACTCTTTTTCTTTCAATGTTATACCAGTGATTAGCAAAGTGCAAACCCGCTAGTTGACGGATTGGTTCCTCAGGTATGTGACGTATTAAAATCCTGGCTGTCTGGCTTTGTTTTTGAGACTGTTATTGGTTTACTTTAGTTCCAGGACAAACATGTAATGAAGAAAAAGCAACTACAGTAAGACGTTGTTTTAATGGGAATGCACACTTAAACTTGGATTTTCTTCTCGTAACAGTTTTCCATTTCTTGGCTTTCTGTATACACGGGCTCTGCCTCAAAACCTTGTTCCCCCTCTAATGTTTATTTCTTTTTGTCTTTCAGCCTGAGAACATCATGCTGCTGGACAAGAACGTCCCAAACCCCCGGATCAAGCTGATTGATTTTGGGATTGCTCATCAGATTAAAGCAGGAAACGAGTTCAAGAACATTTTTGGAACACCAGAGTTTGTTGGTGAGTTCAAGTTACCCCTCTTTTTCACAAATAAAGTAAAAATGTTCTGCTTTAGAAATCTTTAAAGTGTTGTGCCTGTGTGCGCCCAGCTGGTTAAACCCTTTAAGTTGATGACAGTGTGTCTAAGATCTCCACATCTGGTTTGAATTAAAGCATTCCTCTGTGCTTACAGCTCCAGAAATAGTGAACTACGAGCCCCTTGGACTGGAGGCGGACATGTGGTAAGATGTCAACATGTTGTTTTGGAAGCTGTATTTTGAGCTGTGTGACCGTTTTCATTCATGCCTGGTTCTCCTCTTCTCTGCAGGAGCATCGGAGTGATCACATACATCCTGTGAGTTGTGTTTCACATCACCACTTGTTGTTGACTTTCGTTCAAACTTCAATAGCTCGCTCCTCGGCCGTCTCGTTTCATAAAGCGAATCCTTTTATCTGTGTTCCTGCAGACTGAGCGGGGCTTCGCCATTTCTTGGGGAGACAAAGCAGGAGACCCTGACTAACATCTCAGCCGTTAACTACGACTTTGATGAAGAATACTTCAGCAACACCAGTGAGCTCGCCAAGGACTTCATACGCCGTCTGCTCGTCAAAGATCCCAAGTAAGAACTTTTCAGTTATTATGCTGAAAATAAAGCATCACATTTCTGTGAAAATATACTGTTTTAGCTTGGTCATTTGCTCACTGGTGGAATATTTTGTTTTCAGGAAGAGAATGACAATTGATGACAGTCTTCAGCATCCCTGGATTAAGGTGTGTGGTTTATTAATATTTGATATGGTGTTTATAACTTTTTGTCAATGTCAAAGCAATCTTGGCTTGTTTGATAAACACATCGCGAAATTGAACTCCCTTTTTTTTGTGCGTTGTGTGTTCAGCTCAATGTTTTTATTTGATCTACAAAATGTTTTAAATAATTTCCCTTTTTCTAAATCCTACAAGCACTTACTTGAATTATACTCAAAAAAACTCAGCAAACTTTAATAAAAGTTTATGTATCGCAAATAATATTGTTATTTCGATCCTGAAAAGCCAAATATTCCTCAAGATTTGTTGTCAAATTGCATTCCTTATTTGAAACCTCTACATATTTAATTCTCCAGGTGATCAAGAGGCGAAATGTCCGCCAGGAGGAGCGAGACCACAAGACTGAGCGTCGCCGTCTGAAGACGACCCGTCTGAAGGAGTACACCATCAAGTCCCACTCCAGCATGCCGCCCAACAACACCTACGTCAACTTTGAGCGCTTCTCGCAGGTCCTGGAGGAGATCGCGGCCGCAGAGGAAGGCCTGAGGGACCTGGAGCAAAACCAGCGCTCGTGCCGGGAGGACGTGGCGGCGCTGCTGTCCATCTACGAGGAGAAGGAGGGCTGGTACAAGGAGGAGAACCAGAGCATCTCCACCGACCTGAGCCACATCCGGCAGGAGCTGCAGCGCACCACGGCCCAGAGGAAGAAGAGCCAGGAGGAGACGCGCCTCACCATGCAGGCCGCAAACATCCTCAAGCGCAAGTACGGGCGTCTGGAGAACCGCTACGAGGCTCTGGCGGAGCAGGTGGCCTCCGAGGTGCGCTGGGTGGAGGAGCTGGTGAAGTCCATCTCTGCAGAGAAGGACACGCTCGGCAGCATGCCCTGAGCCCGACTGACAACACTGACTCTAATTCTCCGGCCCCTCCTCTCTGCGGGTCGGTGCTCCTCATAAGCTGCTGCCATCGGGAGAACATTTTCAACTCTTTTTTTAATGTCACGCTCGAAAAACCAGCAAGAAGCAGAAAGGCAATCTTTTGAACCCATTCCCCCACGAAGAGGCTCATTCCTGTGTTTTATAAGTTAATTTATAATTTGAGAGATTTCACATACTGTTAATTGTTTTGAATTTGAAATTGTATTGGCTTTATTTTTGTTTTTGTAAATTTTCTTTGCCTGGTTTTGTTTTTAGAATCGTAGTTACTGTACATCACAAGGTGCTGTGGAAGCTGTAGATGTCCGCTCTCGCCTCAGGTTATTGGTCAATATGTGAGAAGGCTTCACAACTTAAAGCTAAAGCAGGTAAATAAATAGCCATCGTCGAGGGGCATTTATTTATACGCTTACATTTCCAATTCGGGTGCAGCTGAACGTCAGCTATAAAGGATGCAATAAACTCTAGAGCACTCGGCATAGAATGAAAAAGATTTTGCGTTACACTTTTTTTTCTGTCTTTTATCTGTGATTTTCTAATGATTTCAAGTTTCCTCCAAAGAGTCAACCTAGTTTGTTATAATTACAGGGTAAAAGAGACAATTTGGTGGTTGAGTTTATTATTAACTTTCAGAGATAGTAATAATAATAATAAACTCCTCCTGTATAGCAGACTTTCAAAACCAAAGTGACAAGGTGCTTCACCACAAAAAACACCATACAACACAGATGCTAAGAAAGCAAATGTGAGCAGACAATAAGAGATCCAACTAAATGAGAAATAACGTTTGAATACATAAAACAATCTGTGGGTGTGTTTTAGAAGCTTTTGAACTAATCACACTTTCATAAGTACCAAATGACATGGTTCTTTCTAGGACCTTCCTTAGTAATGTAATGAATTCACGTAAAAGTCAAGCATTATCGGGTTTCAAATGTACACTCATCTCTGCTGTGCCTGAAAACTGATGGACCGTATTGCCTCTGCGTGCTCTCCTCTGTCATCGAGTTATTGATATATATATCACATCGCTCCATGTCTTAAACAACAGCCTGTGCTCAGCAGCTTGTAAACCGAACAGCGTGCATGGAAACTCGATAAACTGTCATTCTGTTTTCATCCTGACCATCTCTGCATTCTCGATACATTCCTCTGATAAGTTTCCCATCCAGGCAACACATTCCCCATGTATAGCGTAGAAAAGTGTATGATAGATGCAGTAGTATTTTTCCAAAAGAGAAATGTATACTTAATTGCATTTGAATGATTATAGCAATGTAAAAAAATCTATTTTAATCTGATTCTAATGTGTAAGAAAAAGCTGAAATGTCTGGGCTTGTTTCAAATAAAGAAAGTTATAACTGTTAAAAAGCATTCATGTTTTGTTATTGTGTGTGGCAACTCTTTGTATAGTGTATCTTTTATAAATATATGTTTGTTATTTGTGCCTTGTTTTGTCCAGTGGTGAAAAGTAACGACATTGGCATTTACTCAAGGACTGCACCAAAGTACAATTACAAGTTACCGGTTCTTTACTTGTGTAACTTCATACTTCTACACCTCCTTTTTAATTATACCAATTATATTACTCATTTATATGTATAACGTGTTTTATAATTTGCTCAACATCGACTAGCACTGTAAAATGCTGCTTGCTTTCAGTACTTGTATACAGAAAAGACCACAAGCAGGTCTTTGGCTCAGCAATATATATGATCTAAAAAGCCTCACAATTTCTGCACCTGGTCTCCTGTACTGGGGAAGATTAAAGGTGGGGTAGGTAATTCACTTCAGAAACACTTTTTGTTATATTCCATGGAATGCTCTTAACATCCCGATAGCAATGAATATATTAAATGCTTTGACAATAAATACATAACAAAATGTCATCTGTGGAAGCCGTGGCGCTGCAAAAAGCACGACCAATCATCTGAGCCGGCCCGGCTAAAATAACTGGATGGCCTACCTGCCTGTCAGCCTTCCATCTCGTGCACAAACTTATCTCGTGCCCTCATTGGTCATGTGCGCGTTCGTGTGTGTTGGAGGAGGGGCTCTGTAAGGAAGTCTGAAGGAAGAGGCAGATTTGTTCCGGTTGTGTACTTTCAAATTCTAGCGCACTCGAGCTGGTTTCTCCATTTCTTACCTACCCTACCTTTAACAACGGGTAGTAACTGAATGAATGAGGCCCTCTGCTGGTGGTTCACCAAAATACAGGAGATTTATGAAAGCCTCTTTTAGTTCTGTGGTCTCTCATTGACCAACCAGAACGTATACACATCTAATTGCTTGTGTATTAAACAACTCGAGATCATAGACTGTATATATAAAGCTCGAGATCCATAAATAAATATTCAGCTTTGTGATAGGCTTAGATGAAAGGCCAGTCTTTTTCAAGTTTTTTTGTATTTGTTATTTATATATATGTTTATCTTCTGACCTTTATACATATGCTCTGTTCAGCAGACCCAACATTTTATATATTAAGTTTGTAAAAAATTATAGTTTACACTAACGGTAAACTATCACTCTTTATGAAACTCAATTAAAAAAACACAAAACAATGCTTAATACATTAATGGTTTTATTTGTATATTAATTATGACAATAATACATCAATAATAAATAACCCTATCATCAGTTTGGCTCCAAACATGATTAGTTTGCTCATGATAAGTGTATAAAAATCTAATCTGTTAGATAGTAAATCTGTTTTGTAAACTTTGACACTGTACAGCATTCTTAATAATAATAACTTACGGTAAAGTTGTTTCCTTGTTTTACAAATAGATTTTTAATGACCATTTTGAAACAAATGGATAACCAGGGATAATCACCTACAATCACTACTGTTGAAATGGAAGATGGAAAGAACTGCTCATCTCTGTGTGAGTATCAGCTGGTTCAGTGTGTGGACTTCTCTCAGGAGAGGAGTCCTTGGCAGTGGTCTCAGGAGAGTCTCCATACAGTCTGTTCTAACTGTCTCTGTGTTAGACTACAAAATGGAAAGAGCCTCCTTGTTGATGTGTGTTTACGTCCTCCTGCTCCTGATCAGAAAACATGTTTATGCCTCCTTTAGAGAGTTGATGTGTGCGCACAGTTTGAGTGCAGGTCCCAGTTTGAGGTTCATGGTGCTCAGCAGGTGCTCCTCGGTCAGCAGCAGCAGAGCCTGGCCATCGATCTCCTGAGAGCGAAACTCCTCGGCTACATCCTGACCCCCTGCAGGAAATAGAGGATACAGACTGAGCGAGCGTCTTTTGTTCATTTTGATACATTCTGTTAGCAGATCTTTGAAGAATTACTTACTTATTACTTATTTACTCAAAGCTAACTTTGCTGCTTTAAAGAACTGGCAGCATTGATTCGATGATTACGTGAAAACCACCATTGTAATGAATGTCCCACATGTTTTCATTTTTTTTATAATGTCTCAACACCTTACATTACATATGTCATTCAGTTCTGAAGTTGCTGCTCATCATTTTTTAGCCATGGATGTGTACTTACCCACTTATGTGTCTCTATTTTTATAACTAATGTGTGCTTTCCTTCTATATATTAATATGTTAGCTTATTCTGTATTATTGCATACCTTTTTTATACCTGCTATGCCACTTTTGCTGTAACAATGTACATGTCCCCGCTGTGGGACTAGTAAAGGATTTCTGATTCTGATTCTGGGAGTTGAATCACTCAATCAGAACCAACGATGTCAATGGCTACGTAGATTTTCACATACAAGGAATTTGTCTTGGTTTTTCGGTGTATAACACTACATATAGTTATATAAAAATAATGTTAAATTCTGCTAAATAATAAAAAAACGATTTATTCTACAGTAGGATCTCATCACATCAGCTGATGACAAATCAGGCTAGGGGCATACATTAAAAATACCTCACTTCCCACACCCTACTTCCAGCGCCCTCACTCGGAAAACAACCCCCCCCCCCCCAAACACTAGTAGTTCATTTGAACACATCTGTAAAGTTTGGGGACAGTTTAACTTATATCTAAACATCATATTTTATGTAAAAATGAATCAGTAAAGTGTCAGCAGCTGTCCAATAGTGAATATGAAGTATCATATTTCACTGTGAATTGTTTGTTTGAAAAGAAAACACTCAAGTAAAGTACAAGTACCTTTTACATTTGTAAATAAGTTTAGTATATGCATGAATGTACTTAGTTTCATTTCACCGCTGATACACAGGTGTACTGAAGTCTCACCTGGCAGGGAGTTGATGAAAGAAAACACTTGTTGGACGTTCCAATGAGACGCAGAGCCGACGTCTTCTTCTTCAGAGACACTGATGGTTTCTGCCGTCCTCTCATCCCCTATCTCCTCCCCTCTCTCCTCCCCTCTCCCCTCCCCTCTCTCCTCCCCTCTCTCTTCCCCTCTCTCATCCTCCCCTCTCCCTTTCTCTCTCTCCCTCTCTCGCTGTCTCTCAGTCTGTTTTCTGAGCCTGGTTGTCATGGGAATGGGAGGCTCATCCTCATCCTCCTCCTCCTCTTCCTCCTCTTCCTCCTCTTCCTCGTCTCTCAGAGAGCTTTGTCGGGTCTCCTCAAACGACCTACGAGCCTGTGGAGCAAAAAGACAAATCAGACAAACATCAACCAGGATTTAGCCTTAGCCATCTCAGATCAGATGCAGGTTCCTACCTGTGAAAACTGCAGCTCTTTAAACATGTAAAGTAATGGTCTATAAAGGTTGACTTTAAAAGAGATAGATGCATTACAACATAGGTCAACTGAATCCATTCAACTAGAACATTAAATTAAATTGTCACAAGACAAAAACAAGACAAATGCCATGTTGTAGACACAAAGCATTTCTGATGGATGCTTTGGCTCTGCTTCTTTTAAACAGTATTATGTGTGGGCTATTGTGAATACACTTGACCAGGAGTCTCCTTCCCCTCTCTGCAGCAGCCTGTCTCATGAGCAGTGACCCCAGCAGTGTGTGCAGTGTGTGCATAGTGTGCAGTGTGTGCAGTGTGTGTGCATAGTGTGCAGTGTGTGCAGTGTGTGTGCATAGTGTGCAGTGTGTGCAGTGCCAGTAGCTGACCTGTCTCAGGAAGTGTTCTCTGGAGGCTCCGTTCACTCTGCTGCCGGGGGGGCGTCCCCTCCGGCCTGTGGGCCTGTGGCCCCAGCGCCCGACTCTCTGCACCGTGACACGCTTTGTGCAGCTCACACTGAACCTGAACACAGAGGTGTTAACAGATGTTAAATTTGATTTATACGGTTCACTGCAGACGGTCACATTTGTTTACTGATGGCACAGAGTTGAGTTTTAGACTGAGTCACTGAGCTGATGGTCTGCATCTGGACTCTTTGATGGCTGGATGGAGAGTCAATAGGAAACATGGGAGTGATTACACCCTTGAGAGTTCTTCTTATAGTCTAAATGTAACTCAATGGGCTCCAGATGTCAGAGGATGTGTCTCACCGCCACAGAGACAAACATCATCTTTAGTTTACTCGTCTCGTGTGGTAGACACTGCATTTTTTAGAGTCTTATTATATAAGGAAGGATGCTCTTTGGCAAAACCCTTGATGGTACAAATTTGAGGTACTTTTCTTTTCCATATTATGAAACCCTATTCTTCTACTCCACTACATCTCAGAGAAGTTGTACTTGTTACTCCACTACTTTTGTTTAAAAGCTATAATTGATTACAATGTGTATCTTAGTTGTTGAGTGTTTGGGGCAGAAGTACAGTTTAATTTGAATGTATAAAAAACTAGTGTGACTGACTGATCACGTTTTTATCAATTTAAATGAGTGCTGCACAATTAATCGATTTGATCAAAATCATTATATGAACTAGTGAAACATTTTAATCACAGGAAACACAATATTTGATACAGGCTTAATATGTGTTACATTTCCATTTAGCTTGAAGTATTGTGGAGCTATCTCAGCCTACCAAGAGTATTTTACAGACTTAACAAAACATATAGTTTGGTACAGAAAACAATCTTACTATGATCATTTGAATATATTATTTGATTTGAATGGGAATAATGCATAACTACCCTTATATCATACCTGCTATATTGCAAAACATTTCCGAAATTGTGCAACCAAAAAATCTAAATATATTTACTGTTCCATAATGCAGGTTTCCATTTGCAGTTCTGGTTTGGCATTGCTTTAGAGGAGCAGGCTGGTGCTCGATATAACGTGTTCTTATTAATGAGAGTGTTGTTGGTGTGTCTCCATGTGAGAGTGATTTATTTACCTCCTGACACACGTCATGGAGCAGAAGCGTTTGGAGCGCAGGAAGGTGTGAGCGTGACCTCGACCGCCGCAGAACTCACACTGCAGCATGGCTGCCGCACTCCCCCCCCGCTCTGCAACTACACAGGGCCAGCTGTTAGTCACACACACACTTACACACACACACACTCACTCACAGTCACATGTACACACACATGACCTCACCGTCTGCTGCAGGGTCGTCCTCCTCCATCTCGGAGTCTGTTGAATCCGACTGGTCAGCGTCCAGCGGGCTGTCCTCTGCCGCCAAGTCCCCGTTAGTTTGTCTCTCCTGAGATTCAGGAAGGGAAGCCTGCTGCTCTGCCAACATCGAGGACGAGATCACCTGCATCCAGAACAGATAAATCACACACACTGACATGGCAAGACACCTCTGTAGAAACAGGTGCTAATTTGTAAGCGTCTAAATGTTAAAATGTTACTATATAAACTACAAACTTAAACTTGAGGTTACTGTTGAAAGTACAATTGCTACAATATCTCAACAACATCTCCAGAGTATATTACATGTAGAAATGTACCTGAACCAAACATTTTAGACAAACAATCTCAAATATAATCTAACTGTGCACTGCTGTTTTTTGATTGAATGTCGCCATACGCAATGACATTAATTGGTAGGTCATATGCTGATTCACCATTGTGGTAACTCATTCTGGAATTGTCTTGAGACTCTTATTTAAATCAAGCATCTTCAAGAATATTACTTTAATTACCCATGAACACATACTGTCAATTATTCAAGATTAAATGTCTAATTGTTTTAAGCATCCATCTCAAACAGATGTTTCGTGGTGATGTCACAGTGTTCGTACCGGGAACGGCTCCAGGCCCTCTCTGATGACAAAGCCCTCTATGAGGTGTGTGAGGACGTGGGTTGTGTGTATCCTGTCGGGGCTCATGGATGCGCTGGTTGGGGAGGAGGGGGGCTGGCTGGGACCTCTGACCGCTGCTGGCAGGACTGGAGGAGGCAGAGGGGGAGACGGGGGAGGAGGGTTGCTGGTGGTGAGCTGTGAGGACTCTTCCACCACCGGAGACCTGATCACTGAGCGGCTGGGTGTGATGGAGGATGAACCCATCACTGCTGAACAACAACAGGGGTACAAGATAAAACAGAGAAAGAAGGATTACCAGTTTTATTCCAGTTTATTTTCAGGAGACTCAGTTTCCTAAAGGAGGTTTAAATAAGGCTGACCACTAAAACGTATTCCTCAGGGCCAAGATGTCTGTCAGTCAGGTTAGTTTTCAGTGGCAGGGAGACTATTTGAAGGCTTTTTGACATATTTTTAAACATATGGAGGCTGTAATTTGCAAAACAATTTACATAATTCAACTAATTAAATTATTACTAATTTCATTATTTTCCAACAACGAGATAAATGGCGTGACTTATTTTAGCTCCAAAACAGCTTAATGAAACAGATCCATGGTCAGATTTTTACATTTATTTAGGCTTTTACATAAGCTCTGGTTTTTCATGAAACATCCACCTAATGAGGAGACTCTTTGGCCTAGGTTGGGTGATGTTTTATTGTAATATTTTCTATTCTATTCTTTACATATCTTACCTGCACCATTCTGCTTAAACGGCCCATTGAGAGGAGTCCTGTCTCGCTGAGCACCAGGAGAAGATTCACCTCTCCTCGCCTCTGAGCTCGATCCATTCACTTTGCACGTTTGTCCCGACTGAAATACAAATCACAACAAACCCCATCACATACTGTGGACATGAAACACTTACAAAACGTAACCGCAGCACACAGAAGCGACTCACCGATGGTGTTTCATTGTGTCTGACTCGATGCACTTTCAGATTGACAGCCACTGTTTGAGGGGGGGGGAGGTTCTGGTAGTTCATCTGGAGCAGAGCCTCCGCTACAGGCAGCTCCTGCTCCGTCAGCAGCACATGACCCGACTGGAGAGCCAGAGCCTGGAGCGAGTGCAGGGGTCGCCTCTGGAGGGAGGCCGGGGGGTTCTGGGGCAACCTGGGCAGGACCAGAGGAGGAGGGGGAGGTGGGGGCTGGTTCTGTGGGAAGGAAGTCCGACGGTGTGGAGCGGCCAGAAGAGGAGGAGGCTGAGGCTGGACGGTGGCTGCTGGGACTGAAGGTGCAAAAGACTGAGAAGAGGAGGGGGCTTGAGGGTTGTGGTTGGTGTGTGAATGGGTGCAGGGAGCTGTGAGTCTTTTAATTGAAAGAGGAAGAAGGTTGGACTTGGTTTCTTGAGGCGCTACTCTGAGGGCGATGGGCTGGAGCTGCCGGTGGTGTGGAGCCCCTCCTGCAGTCTGATGGAGGACGAGCTGGTGGTGAGACCCCCGCTGGCCGGAGGGACAGGACAGCTGCTGTTTGACCAGAGCGTGGGTCTGCACCGGAGAGAAGGCTGCAAACAGAGTGTGGATTAGACTTAAGGGACCAAAAAAACAAAACACCGGTCTCTTCTTCAAAGTGGTCTCGAAAGCATAACCCAAATGAAGTGCGTCTCAGGAGTCCTATTGCACATATCTGATTTCTCTTGGACCAGTTAGTACCTTTGAGTCATCCCTAAAGAGAGTAAAAGCGACACATCACTTTTGAAGATTATTGAGGCTGCAAGTGAAAAAATAATTACAAAATGCCCCAGAGAAACCCTACCTATTGTCTCCTTCCTATTACCTCTATCGATCAATCTATTGATCAACTCTATCCGTTCGATAGAGAAAATTACTTTAACTCTTGGACTTCAAAAGGAGAAAGAAAATAAATACTAGGGAAAAGAGGGATCAGTATAATCATCTAGACTTTTAACAATTTCCTTTTTTTTTATCTTAATTGGTATGCATTAGGACCTGGTCCAACTTCTTTAAAAAAAGGTTGACCTGAAGAGTTATGGCACATTGTGGGGGTTCATTTTCTGGGTTGCAAGCCTGAAACACACGTTCTAGTATCTATCTATATCTGAATATGTCTTGTCACCTGGGGTTATGACGTGGGGTCCCGATGTTTCTGTGGGGGTGTCAGTCAGCTGGTGGTGTTTCAGCCCGCAGATCGACGTCTTGGATAAAGAGGTGTTTAGATTCAGGGCTTGTGATGGGGCGGATGGTTTTAAAATGACACTGTGAGCTGTGGCCAGCGCTCCGGGCAAGTGGGCACGCAGAGCCAGATTCTGCACCTGAAAATACACACAGAGAACGTCACTGCTAAAGTCTATAGAAAAGTCAAAGTGTATTAATAGTTCCTCGAACGTTCATCACTTGACTTGTGTTATGAGCGGTTAAAAAAATCAACGAGCATCCATATTATTCATCCATTGTCATCCGTTTATTTAAAGAAAAACTGAGAAAATAGTCATTAGAAGCCATGTGATTGAAAATGGTTTGCCCTTCCACTTATACTGAACACCTGTTCACCTGTCCTTAATAAAGAGCCAAAACCACACCTACAAGTTACATCACTATGATTCATCGATAGTCAACATCGATAAAAACAATAATAAACATCAACACAGGGAAATCCATGACTATAGTTGCAAATGTTAATAAGTTAAATATGCAAATATGGATTCAACAACTTGTGTATTAATCAAATAACTTCTCATGTTATGCAGCTCATGATATGTAGCATCCTGCAGTCTATGGTATTTCAGTTGAGTGGTGTGTGTTATATTCTGATTCCTGACAGTGTGTACCTGAGAGGAGGGAGGTAAAGCGGAGCAGGAGGTGACAGCAGGGAGGTCTGATTGAACTGCAGCCACCGTGGCTGCTGGGGTTAGAATAAGCTGACAGGAGAGAAAGCAAAAAGCAGGGAGAGACAGGTGGCTTAGAAACAAACAAATAGCATGTTGTGAGAAAACATAACAAAACACATTCGGTAAAAATAGAAATAGGGCAAACAAGTCGTGCAGTTTTAAAGTTCCAGTGAAATTAGCAAGTGTGCTTTAAAACGTTGAAAAAGTTTGTACCATCTGAGTGCGAAGGTACATCTGAGCTTGGTTACAGTTGGCCGGTCGGTTCCCCAAGAGCATGGCCTGCTGGGAAATGGTGGTCGCAGCACCAGTGGATGTTTGGGTTCGTCCAATCAGCTGGGCTGTCACTGGAGATGATGGTAGAGTAATCTGCATGAAAGAAAATGAATGTTAAAAGGGACAGTTTTTTTGGAGTTAGGTTGTGTGAAGTTGCTGGTCTACCGCTGCTTCAAGTTTGTTTTGAAATGGCTTGTTTACAAGATAATAGATTGAGGCAGTCAGCAACTCCTGTGGTCTGCAGGGTAACATATTGTTTTTGTCAAAGGTTTTTGCAAAGAGAACATAGATAACAGCCTCAGCTCTATGTTGGCAAAGAAGTCTGACAGCAAGTTAAAGCGATTACATTATTTTTAAATAAAACGTACACTTAAACTTATATTGATTTCTTCAAGAGGCTAAAACACATTTTTGCTGCTTGTCGCTTCCATGCTTGAAACTCCTGTCTGTCTCTCCAGACTTTGAATAAGTACCTCATGAAACCCTGCTTCAAAACATCTAAAGTATTACTTGAATATGTCTGCTTAGGTCAAGTTGATGAGAGTCGTAACTCAAACACTTACTGAGTTTTGGGAAACACCCACAGGCTGATGGACCAAACTGCCACTGGATGAAGACGACGGCTGCCTCTGACATACTGAAGCCTGAAAGACATTGGAGAGACATCACACTCTCTGTTCTTCATGTTAAATTATTCTCCATGTTTGCACTAACACATGGCCAACACCACCCGACCTGCTGTATGGTGGCCAGGCTCTGCAGGTGGGGGCTGTGCTGCTGCAGCGCGGCGGTCTGCAGCATGAGGTGCTGCTGCTGCGCTGCGTACATCTGCTGCAGGTATTGAGCCGCCATGCTCTGAGGTCTGTGGATGGCCTGCTGGATCACCTGAAGGACACATCAAGCACTCAGTCAGTTAGTCTTTTTAATTGTGTTCCTGTTGCTCTTTAATTAGCTGAGAATGGATACTTTGAAGTATTTGGAAAATGTTCTTTTGAGAAAAATATTATTAAGTGCCGATTGGAACATTCCTAGAATATTTAAGAGATGTTAACATTCAGCAATACTATCTTTTTATCAGCTATTTTACATTAAAATCACCTTTTCAAAATAACATTACATAAATAACAAATCTAACCATTTAAAAAAAAAAGTTTAATAGAAGACTATCTATTTCCTACAATTTCTGTGTATACCATATTGGCTATAAGAGCAGAGCAGGGTCAACTATCAACTACCTTTTACCTGGATTCCTTGTAGGTCCTGGATAATGTCTATAACCTGCTGGACAACCTGCCTGTCAAGTCTAACGATGCTAAATGAGATCTGATGTACTGTCTACTATCTGGACTCCTCTCAAAGGAAACAATCCGTGCACAGCTCCTAGGTACTATCTATTACCTGGACTGCCTGCAAGCAAAGTCAAACAATGCTTAGATAGGTTCAAGGATCCGTCTTTACCTGAACTCCACTTAAAATAAACAATAGATTAACTAGGTCCCAGCTACTGTCTATAACCTGGTCTCTCTGCAAATGAAACAAGCCATGCAGGCCCCAATCACGTGTATTACCTGGACTCCCTTTCAAATACAAACAATGAACCACTAAGTCCCAAGTAATGTCTGGATTACCTGTCAGTCAAGTCAATGTTTGCAGAAACCTGGGGAACTGTCTAAAACCTGGATTCCTCTCACATGAAACAAACCATGCATAACTCCCAGGTACTGTCTATAATCTGGATTCCTCTCATGAAACTATGCCGGGGTCAAAGGAGTCTAATACCTGGACCGCCTGTCTGTCGGGTGAGATGATGCTGAGGGAAGTAGACGGCGCCTGGGTGCACGTGGTGCTGCAGGAGCTGACTGTTGCCATGGTGATGGCTGCTGATGATGGGGTGGGGGTGCTGGTTGTCCTGTTAGTGTCTGTCTGCTTCTCTGCTGATCCCTGCCTGTCCATCTCCAGGTCAAACACAGATCCAGTGATGGGAAAAGTCTGGGGATAAAACAGACAATAAGTAACAGCAGGAAGTTCAAATCAAACTTGACTTGAATCAGGAGAATGGATCTGCAGCTGCTTCTGTTGTTTAACACTTTCCTTAACTGCATGTTTACAAGCTCAAATCAACTGTTGGTTAAAAATAATATTTTATTTCATTTTTTTATTCAGTAAAAAATTCACGTAAAGAGTGCAGCTCTGAATCAGTTCCTGTTTGCTAATAAAACATTCACATGTATATAAATAAATAAATGTGCTATGTAACATAAGCTACCCGACTCTAATATTATTTGTATGTTTAGCTTATGGTCTTGGAAAAATGCATGTTTATAATCATGTTTTCATATTTGGTCACTTCAATATAGAGAGCATGAAACTGCCAGTTATCTCTCTTTACAGGTTCAGACAGCACATCATAACATGAAGAAACACAGATGACTTCATTGCATGTAAAAATAAAACATTATGAATTTGTAATGAAGATTATGTGAAAGGGGGTAAATCATTCATGTTATTGATTTGTTTAAAGGTTATGTTGTACCAATACCATGTAAAGAGACAACGGTGCGGTGCCACAATGATAGATGTGTTCTATCTAATTTGATAAGCAAGCTTTAAAAAAGTCAAACATTATTATATGTAGTAATATCAAACAGATAGCTTTTAAAAAGAGAGTTGTTTTGAAATATGTAATAAGGCTACACACTGATGGTCTAAGGCAGCTTGAATATTGATTGCTTTTTGCTGCAGAGCCGGCTCTGTCCAATTAAAAACCAGCTGGATATTTTCGTTAACAAACCCTTAACGACAACAATTTATCTTAAATGCACTGCCCATAATTTAAGAAATTCGGATTAAACATTCAACAATGAGATTCCCTCCCTCTCTGTCTGTCTGTCTGCCTGTCTGCCTGTCTGCCTCTCGTCGCTCAGCCTCAGACGCTTCTTCGCTTTATGCAATCATTCACCTCTTGTCGGCGTTACCTGCCTGCTATTGAGAGACCATCAGGCCATCAGGAGCTGACAGGAGCCCGGCACATTGTCCCAGTCATGAAGCTTCTGATGCGGCAGTATACTGTCTAAAATGGAGATAAAAAACATATCAGACGGTAGCAGGCAATACAAAATCCCAGACACAGCACCGCTCGCTGTGCGGGAGGACCTTCCACAGCCGTAGCGCTCTGCATGGAGAGGCAGATGTTAGACAGGTTAAAGTGGCTTTTTATGCGTTTTGAATAGATTTATTTAATTATCATGATAATGTCTGGAGAAAATGTTGAATATTGGCACAAAAATAAAAAATTGGGATGCTGGGTTTTAGCTCACAACACTAAAATATGCGTCAAAATACTATTTCACAAACTGCTGATGGGCTAATAACACAGACATAAAGTAACCCTAGGCTAATCTTCCATTTGGGTTGGTTTTTCTCATGGCAGAGCATTTCGTTTTTCACTTTATCTATCTATTAAACGGGGACAACATAATTTGAAAGCTCTTTATGTTTTGTGTTTACAGGAAAAAATAAATCCTGTGCTTGAAAACACTTACTGTCAGGAATTTCATGGAGTTGTTATATTATTGGATGATAGTAAGGATGAATTACTACTTTATAACAAGCTAGGGCTTATTTCCATATTTCTCTTATCTGATCTGATTTGCACTGATCTTGCAATATTGTATTATTTATGTTTTGTTAATTTGTCTAAACCATTAGTTGTTAAATAAATGTTATGGAGTAGTAATACTCAAGGAAAAGAGGGTGCAAGTAGTGAGTAAATGTATTCTGTTATTTTAGGCTTGGGTTAATATTTTATTTGCTCCCATTCTTTTCTTTTATCAATCACGTTTTCTAGCACAGCAGCACAGAGGATTCCCTTATTTTCTAAAATAAAAAATGAAAAGTAAGAAAAAGATGAATGCTTTTACTTCTATTCCTGCTCCATCTATGTTGATGTTACTTCCGAACCAAAGCACTTGAATGCGCGACATGTCTTGAGGGCTTCTCCGATGTCCGAGCTCAGATTGTTGAACCTGAAAGCAGCACTTACCCACTTATAAACCTACAATTGGTACAGTCGGAATGCAGCCAATGGATAATGTTTTACTTTTTGGAGATGTTTACCATTTAATACTTATTTGTTATACATTATTGATTTAAATTCAGCTTGATATTATGCATTCTAATGTTTTTGACGTAAAATGTGTCAGGATACATGTCTGTGTGTTTGTATGCGCAACCCTATGCATTCCGACAATGGACTCGCCCGTCGTCAGGCCTTTGCAGTAGGGAGTTGTTTGGCCGACCCCGCAAGTTTTTCTTTACTTTACATGCTATTTTAGTTTCTCTGAGGAAGGCAAACACCTTCGTTTTTATCAACACTAGCCTCGTTCTTCACTTGCCGTGTCGACGGACCTAAAAAACTAAGTGTTTCGGGGCGTGGTACACAAACTAGAGAGGCGGAGAAGGAAGGGAGGCATCGGGGATTCAGACGGACCACGGCTGAGCTCAGGATGCCGACGTTGCGGGACAGCACCATGTCCCACCCCGGGGAGAATTCACACCAAGTCCGGGTGAAGGCGTATTACAAAGGGTAAGAAATGATCCCAACATGTCATTGAGGTTGTCAGTAACCTACCAGGAGCAGTTTTAGTACTTGGTAAGGTGGCTAATCAGTTGGCTAACATTAGCTAACCCGGCTAACGGCTTGCTAATGGTGGGTTCTGGGGTTTAGGTAAACTTGAGCAGGCAGCTGAAACTGTCCAGACCCGCTGTCAGTGTGAAGCCAGACTCTCTGGGTTGTTTGATAAATATGTCAGCTACGGGGTGGAGTTGTCAAGTGATTTAAATCCAGTCAAAAATAGTTAACGATCGAGTTTGAAACAGAGCTAGTCTGTCAGCTAGTTAGCTGAGTAGCATTGACTGCTAGTTCCACTAACTGTCACTGGTAGATTGTGCCCACTTCACTAGTCCCATTGTAAAAAATATGTAACCTTATAACTAGCATGACAGGCTTTACACTAGCTAACATACATTATTTATAGGTAATTGCTAATTAGCTATGTCTTTAGGGGATTGGCATAATGACAACAGGAAATCCTGACAGGCTTTTATTGACTGATATCGATACCAGCATTATAACTATTTAGGAATCAAAACACAAGATGAGTGTTGTTGTTGATCTTAATCCTGTTGGACTACCTCAAAATGTGAAGTCATGCTGAACTGTTCATATCAGATGGTATTCTCAAGTATTTCTGATAAACTGATGTAGTGTTTATAATACAAGGAATATAATTCAAGGAATGTCCTTTCATAAATGAGTGTGTATGTATTTTATAAAGGGGGTAACAGAGTTTATTGCCCTAGTAATATGGGATTTTATCACAATACAATTGGTCAGTTTCCACTTTGTTTTTATCCTTACTTTAGCACCCTGAGTCCCACCTAAGACTATCAATTCACCTGTTGATTATTATTTCGATTAAGTAATACATCGCTTAGTTTACGAAATGCCTAATAACAAGTAAAAAAGTTCTTAAAGCCCTATGTTTGTCATCAAATATCTTATTTTGTGTGACCAACAGTTCAAAAACCATGGACATCCAATTTACTCTGATACAAATAAGCCTTAAGATGCTGGAACTGCTTCATTCAAATATTTAAAAGACGCTTCCATGGTCAACATTGCAGCTGGTTAATTTCCTGATTATATACTTATAGATTAATTGTTTCAGCTCTAGCTCTTACGTAATCTCTTCCTAGATCGAGCTGCAAAAACACTTTTATTATTTGTAGGGAACCTTGCCCACAAGACAAACAGTAGATGATAAAGACATAACCCTAATTGTTCTATTCATCCCTGGTATGGAGATGCCGTGCTTTGAGTGTTTGTCATACCAGGCCTGGCAGAGGCAGTTTACCTGCTTCAGTTTCGCACTAGGATGTGATGATGGAAAATCATTGGTCACCCTGTTGTTTTCATGACACTCCCTGCCCCACCGGCTCTGTTGGATGGAGCCAGTGATTGGAGCCCTGCCAAGACTTGAAAAACGTGAAGTGCAAGTCAGCCAGACCTCTTGTAGTCCTCCCTGGCTCTGTGACACACCTCACACACACACAGTGTGGGCTGAGCGTTAGTTGTCATCGCACATAACAAAGCATCTGAAGTATTTATGAGGCTGCTGCTGAGGAATCTCAGCTATGCTGCCAAAGAGGGAATGCAGTGAGATTGTCTCGTTATCGAGTCGCATTAAGCCAGGATCACCAGGGTTGTTATTGTTTCCCTGCAGAAGTTAGGAGTGGGAGATTGGATCAAGATACTCGATTGGTACTGACATCTCCACATGCCGGCACAGTTTCTTTACTGTTTTTTGTCTAACATTACAACTTTCTCAAACTATATAACTCAAATATACACAAGCTTAAAAAAATCAATGAAATCAGGGCAATTATAACATACTCTCTGAATGACCTTACTCTGTGGTAATTTCTCAGGGCAGCTATTCTATTCATCTGGCTTAGTATAGTGTCCTGTTTTAAGTCCATTCATGCCTATTTGCACGTCTGCTGTCTGTCAGAGTTAACATCAGCAGACTGGTGTCAGCCTGTAGCAGCCTCAGCCTGTCACTGGCTGCTCTTCATTTCCCTCTCATTCAGCCTGATGGCCAATAGAAAAATCTAAATGCACTGAGACTGACAGATATTGATTCTGTACAGTAGTAGCAGATAGATTGGAAATTAAGTTTGGTTGCGCTTCAAACAACAGTTTTTTATCATCAATTCTTTTCCTGACTTTTTTTTGCTCACTCAAGGGATTTCTTTTAAATAAAAGGTGTCCATCACAGTTTCCCCGGGCACCAAATGACCGCTTTGTGTTTTTGTCTTCCATTGCCTAGTTCAAAAACTTGATAATCAGTTTATAAACAGCTAATCCTCTCATTTAAAAGAAAATATATTTTTTTCATTATGATTTTTTCTTCTTCTGCTCTACAGTGTAACAGAAATATTGAGACTTCTGTTTCATTGTATTACACTCCAGATGCAGTTCACCTACATTTTGTGTAGTTATATAGTATTATTAGGACATTGGTTATTTCTTACAGTGTAACATTTTGTAAAAAACCTTGTGATCCTTTTCTTGCTCTACTACTTATCCAACATGTCCATCAATATCACGCCCGGTATCTTTTTCTATATGTTTATCAAACTTTCCTTACATAATACAGCTGCTCAGTGCCCACTTGTACTATCATTAAAAGCTCTACTTTAGGAACATATAGAACCTGCTTGACATCTCTTCCTTGATTGCTTGTTATGTATTGCTTCCTACATTCTTCTGTGTTTTAATTGGGCACAAGGGAATGTTTTTGACAGCTGGAAATGTATGGTTGTTACGATAAGTCTTTACATAGACAACACAGTTTATCAAAGAAAAAGCCTATATGAACTTTGATCCTGCTCCTACAGAAAATAAATGATGTGCAGAATATTCCTTTTAACGTGAGCAATTAATTAATCATATTTTAGTTTAGTTGTATTTTTAGTTTTCAGATGTTTCTTATTTTTTCCATAATGGACCAGCTTCCCAAATGTAGTATTCCTTCTCTGTGGGTTGATTTTCAACCAGATATATTTTGTCTAGTTGGAGGAATCTGTTTGACTGAGCTCAGGAAGGCATCTTTTAACACTCTCCTTTCTCAGAGTTTACAATTCAGCTCACTTCATTTTCGAAAATATTGTCATAAAAAAACGTTTTCTGTCGGCCTGCTATTCCCAAGAAAAAGTTGTATCTTACAAAAATGCAAAGCCTTTTATTCGGTAGCAGGTCCTGTTCCATTGGGTCCATGTTCCTGCCAGTGTGTAACCATATCAGGCCAGAAAAAAAACAATATTATGCGGAGCTGCCAAAGACTAACAAGAGGCGTCTTATGTGCCAGATCAACTTCAGGATTCCTGTGTGAGGCATGTTGTTTGGCAGGAAACTGGGATTACACCGGCTCGACCAAGCAGTTCAGATACTTGCCTCTTTTGAAAGGAGTTGCTCT